TAAAAACATGGAAGACCATCAAATATTTATTTCACTTTTTTATTAAAGTCAAAAGTCAGATGAAATTTCAGTTCTTACTGATTATAAATATTAACTGATTATAATTTTATAATAGGTAATATATATGGGTCATTCTCACAAAAAGGTGATTTTTTAAGTCCCTTAGTAATAAATATTAGGAAATACAGCAGATTTCTTAATAATTTTCTTCATCATTTTTCGTGAAGTTCTAACTAACAAATCATATGCATTTCTGATAAATGTATTTAATATTTCATTCTTATTTTTTAATAAATATAACTTCAAAATCCCCTCCGTGGACGTCCCTACGTCTGTGACACAAAATAATTTTTAATGGCTGTTAAACAATTTAAATGTCATTTTAATGATTTTTGTAGTTTAACCTAGTTAAATGTTTATAGTAACTTTTTATTTAATATTTTTTTAAAAAAAATTTATTTTTATAAAATAAATGACTAGTAAACTTTGTCCATCAAAAATGAAATCTCCCTCCATGGACAATTAATATAGTTCGGTAAATATGCAATAAAAATGCATATGCGAAATCCCTATAAGACAGCTGCTGGGAAAGGTAACCATTCCATTTTCTAATGTTAACTATCAGTTGTTCTTGTTCTCTTTGGTGTCAGTTTTGGATTGTTGTGTTCAACTGGGGTTTGGCAAAGTTCTCACTGTATACTCCGTGGAAAATCATAAAGAAGGTAAGAGAAAATTATTTTATTTTTGACAGATGAATTTTAGATTGCAAAAGTAGTATACTTAATAAAAAGAACTGCCCCATTTTTGTAACTTTAAAATTAAAAGTCAGTAAAATTCAAGAACTAGTTTTTGTCTCCTCCGTGGACACAACAAGTCCACGGAGGAGAAGACACAGTCAATGGAAGAGACAATGTAATAGATAACCATAATACAATTTTAATAATTAAAACACTATTTTCTTATAATTGATATTTTTTAAAATGGAACAAATGTGTTAATTTGTTTGTATTTTTAAACAAAATCAATTAAGTTTAACTTTTTTTTATCGGAGAAGTAAATATTGGCAATTTTTCTAAATAATTTCTGTGATGTTTGACATTTTTTTTCTCTTCAAATTTTAGGAAAAAAATGGCAAAATCAAATTGTAAAAAAAGAAAGCAATCAAATGTTCAAATGCAAAAGAGAAGGGAAGAGAAAAAAATTAGTATGAGACAAGCTAGACAGAAATTAAAAGAAAACCCTATATTGTTTGAAGAAAGTAAAAAAAAAATTAAAAAAAAAGAGCAAGAAACTTTAAAATCTGTATCAGAAAAAGATTTAACAGAAAAATCGTGATTAAATGTACTTACATTTCTAGAAATTGATAGAGAAAACCGTTTGTTCCCAGGGAAAAAAGAAACAATAACAAGAAAAGAAACAATAACAAGAAGAGAAGAGAGAAAACAAAAACGTTATTTGGATGACAGTATGTTTAACTTGCATAAAATGTTCATAAAAGAGTACCCTCAACACTCAATTTTCATGTGGAGTCTGAATTTTTATTTCAATAGTCTTTACATTCTAATTTATTAATATTCAGTAAGAAATACTTAAAAAATTGTACACCTAGGTTAAAAATGGATGTTTCCTTTCATAGCAGCATGATTAATCGGAAGTAGCTCTATCTCTAATAATGAAATATTTTATTATTTACTTATTAATGTTAAACTCATATCAGTTGTACCCAATAATTAAAAAATTAGTCTTCATTGATATTTTATATTTTATAACATAAAATGTCTCCTCCGTTGACTATTACATCTCCTCCGTGGACAAGGCAGAATTTAAAATATTTTAAATCTTGTAAAAAATAAAATAGAAAACTTGACCATTATTATAAGGACATATACTCACTGATGCAAATNTGCCAAACTATCTTGATTCATTGCTGAACGCAAATAATTTTTTATCAATTTTAATCTTGAGAAAGATATTTCTCCTTCTGCATTTGATCCAAGAATCGACAAATATATTCTTAATGCAATGTGAACGTTAGGAAAAGTATTCACAAGTTCATCTTTAATTGCCTAGGGCCTACGAAAATTGGCTATGTCTAGGGCCTACGAAAGGTATAATCCAGCTCTGAGAATGACCCATTTATGTTTAATAAATATAGTAAATAAATGTGTGTGAAAACAAAAAGATTAATAAACTTGTTCCTTTTATATTACTGCATTTATATTTTATAATGCTTGAGTTAAAAATTGTGAAATGTTATGTACTTAACAATAAAGATTCAAATATGTATTAGTGAGAATGCGTTATTTAAACTTAATCTAAAATACATATAACAAAATTAAAATAACCTTTTGGATTTATTTCTATTTTCAAGCTTATACAACACTTTTTAATAAATAAAAATATTTACACAATAAAACTCAAAGTTTATGAACAATAAAAGAAAAAAGCCAGACAGGTTGGGTTTTTTCTAAAATACCCGGGTTTTTTCAAACCCTGTCTTGGCCTACATGGAGATGCCACAAATAATTCCTGTAGCATAGACTTACATAAATTTTTTGGACAAATATTTTCTTCAATCTCTTTATCAGAGTGCATAGACAAATTATTCAACAAAAAATAAGCACTTTTCAAGCACTCAAATGATTTTAAGCACATTAAAAATATATAATTAGGCAGGTTTGGAAAGTTTTTGACAATTGACGGTTTTATCTGGTTTTAATCATCATGTCAAAAAAAAACCCTCTTGGCATTGTTTCTGAAAATTGTCAAAATTTTTCAATCATGTAAATTGAATGGCGTTTTCGTACACTTACAGACCGACGATGAGCAGAAATTGATTAGGGTTGAATTAATTGTGAAAACATTAAACAGAACAATGCTTTTCTGCATAATTTGTAGCAAAAATCAACAGGATAAAGGAAAAATTTCATTTCGGTAAAAGGAAAAATTAAGCACTTTTTAAAAACGCCCAATGAAAAAAGCACCTTTAAGGGCTTTTAAAAAACAAAAATAAGCACCTTTAAGCACTTTTTAAAAACCCTATGCACCCTGTTTATGTTCTCAGAGCTGCCTACTGTTACAATTTATCCGTAATTCAGGGGTGATTGTGAGCCTAAGTCAAAATTCCGGAAAATTTCTTGAGTTAAAAAAAACAAAAAACAGTTTAAATTGAAAAAATTTAAACAAGGTTTTTTTCCTATATTTCTTAGTTTACTTAAAATATATTTAAAATTTTACACATACCTATACTATTTACACATAGCTAGGATGACCTGGAGAAGTAATTAAAATTTACAAATATTTCTTTCTTGAGTTTATGATTATAACAACTATTTACTGATAAAAAATGAATATTAATCATGAATATAAGCTTATAAAGTATCTCTCTGGCTCTGCCTTACAAACAAATAAAATGAACTGTGTTTTTAAGTTCCACCTTTGAAAATTTGATTTCCAGAAACTTCTGTGATAAATGATATTTTGAAACGTCTGGACCTTTGATCTCCGGAAACTTCCAGATCACTGCTAGCGAAAATTCCGGAAATCCGGATTTTTTTCGGAGCACAATCACCCCTGATAATTATAGTTATTTCCTAATCAAGATTATAATTGCAAGTTGAGTAAAAAAATTATGGACTTTTGATCAGTGACATTGAAAGACAGCCATTGGACAGCCTTCTCCTTTATTGCTGTAGTTTTCATTGATCATGTATTCAGTTGATTATTACATCAATGATATTCTGAAGGTAAAAATTACAAACTAGCCTAATTGGTTAATACCCATACTTTACGTCTAATATTATAATTTTAATATTTCTTATACTTTTTTTTTCCATCTTCAAAGTGAGTTTTTCTATTTAATGTCTGGATAAAAATATTGACAAAAATAAATAATCTAGACGAAAAATATTAAATCGCTCACGGGCTGCAATAGTGCCACAACTCAAAAAAACACGATTTTTGGACTCAGAGTAGGTGTAAATATGAAAATACACATTCTTTCAGCTGCAATACTAGCACAACTCATAATTCAACTTGAAAGTAATCTTCGATTAAGCAAACGAAAGCATTTCTTATGCAGTTTTCTTAGGGATGAAAATTTTAAAGCCACTTATCTCAAAACATGATTTTTTTGAGTTGTGCCGCTATTGCAGCCTATGAGCGAAATGATTAGTGTTAATGATTTTAATGTTTCTTATCCCATTCCCCCCCCCTTCATATGAAGATGAGTACAAATTGTGTTTTTCTATTTAATGTCTGGACAAAAATGTGGGGAAAAATAATGACTTACTAATTGGTGTGGGAAAAAATATTGACTTACTAAATGATTGGCATAGCTGCCAACACGGATAGGAAAAAATCCGGTAGATTTTACGAAATAATGTAAATTTCATGATAATTGTTGCAATAATGTACTAAATATTTCACACATAGGGAATTTTTATAGTCATCAAAATAGAAAAATTGTAATATTTTTCAGTTATGTTAGAAATTAAACAGACTTTAAATGTTATGTATTATGTTTACTCATAATTTCGAATATTAATAGGCATTTACTTCATGAAAGAAAGGTAAAAGATTTTTTCAATTAATTTAAAAAGATAGCTGTGAATAAAAATAAAATGAACATTTCAGAATAAAAAAAGTTTTGAACTGATTTCTATAAATGAGGTTATCTTCTTTATGTATTAGTAATACTTATTTAATTATTCAAGCAAGCAAGCAAATGTAATGCGTACAAGAATTCTATTTCAATAGGGATTTTTTAAGAAACTACTTTAGGGAATTTTCTAAAATGTACAAGAATCAGGAGAATTTTAAATAAACCAGTAGACCACGAGAAACTAGCAAAATCCCGTAGTCTACAGGAAAATTCAGTAGAGTTGGCAGCTATGGATTAGTGTTAGTAATTTTATCACCACTCATTTAATTCATTTCAAAAATTTTCAAGTAACAGACGTCAAATAAGTAATTTTAAGAGTAAATTCTTCGAAACTTACATAGTCATCATCTCCATCCTCATCTTCTAGACGCGATGCACACATATCAGTATAAGTTTTATCCCAATTTCGAACAGTTTCCATTGGCAGATTAGTTTCCTTAGCAATTTGAATTTCATTAAAGCCATTCACCCATAAGTATACAAAAAGCAAGATGTCTACCAAAGGAGCATTTATCTCTTCTAGCCAGGAACCATGGCGCGTGGAATAACTAGGTGGGTCTATTTTACATTCCTAAGGAGAAAAACAGTCATTATCATTCAAATTTCTTGCAACATACACAATTATTTTAGCTGATTCACTTATAGGTCTATAAGTGAATCAGCTAAAATAATTTAATAGGCTCTTTAAATTTCTTACAATATTGTAATAAGTGTATAATTATACACTTATTACAATATTGTAAGAANACCAAGAATTGAGAAACACTACACTATCCTTTATATAAATTTTATTTATTAATTAAATTTCACATATGAATATAGGTTTTTGACATTTTCGAAAGTTTTGACAGTGAGGTTTTTGATGCGACGGTTTAAACCGTCAAAAACTGTCACATGTCAAAAACCTGCCAACCCTGATTGTAAGAAATAAGTGTGTATTTATACACTTATAGAGCCATGGTGGCTCAGGCTATAGAGCGCCCGTCTTCTCACAGGTTTGAATCCCGGCGACGGCCGATCTATACGAATTCCGCACCGACAGCAGTGCTGACGTAAAATATCTTCAGTGGTAGACAGATTATGGGCTAGAGTCCCCTTGCTTTTAGGCTAAGCGTGGGAGATTTTCGCTGTTTACCTCTCTATGTAGAGCAAATGTGGGTTGGTTTCATCAAAAAGGCAAATTTCTCCCAATACTTGATCCAGGAGTGCTCGTGTCTTCTGGATTGGGTTCAAAATGACAAGGAGTTAAACATTAGTAGTTTTAAGCCCAAAATTGGGACGGCTGTTCAACGATAGTTATAAAATAAAATATACACTTATAAGTTAATGGCCTAAATTTATTCTACATTGGAAACAAGCAAAAGAGATACGAGAAAAAAAAACAATCAAAATTTATCTTAATAATATTACTTTAACTAAATGGATTTATTTTCAATCCCAAGAACTACAATTGTCCTTTTAATTTAAAACACATCGACCCGTTGACTGGGTAGATCTAGCCTACAGAAAAAAAACTATAATCTCAATCATTAACTAAATTTTTTTTTTTTTACATTCTTAATGAGGAAAACTATTATTTCTTTTTAATACCACAAATCTATCTAATTCATAAATCTACCTATACATCAGATTTATAAATTAACAAAACTATAATAAATTAACAAAAAAGAGGGAAAAGCACAACTCATCCACATTGACTTTCCCTAAACAGGCAACTTATTCGGCTCCTTTTTTAATTTTATTTTAAACAATGATTTTCTGAAATTATAAATTTTTATTACAGAAGAAAAAAATGTTTGGTATTTGATCTGGATTTGAAGTCAAATATTTGTTGTTGTCACTTGTCAATACTAACAAACAGAGAGGTGCACTTCTTGTTTTTCAGCGCCATCTATGGCCAATAATTCGACTTTCGCCACACACACAAGTCGTAGCCCGTTTTACAGGGAGAACAAATTCAAGCACTTTCTATTCACAGATCGTAATTTTGACCTGCAGAAGAGCATAATCAACCTCCGATCCAATACCTTCAGAGGTATTGATTTGTTATGGGAGGTTTTTGCGACCCCAGCAGACTTAGCGTATACCAGTCACTATTTGTGCATGGGGAGTCCTTGATCGGCGGATGTCGCACTCATTACCCAACATGGATCCAACTACAAAATTATTTCAAGACTGAACTTGTTTTTTGACCATTTAATGCTACCATTTGAACTTGTTTTTTGACCATTTGACTCATTACCCAACATGGATCCAACGCATGGGAGAAACTACAAAATTATTTCAAGACTGAACTTGTTTTTTGACCATTTAATGCAGTCTCTGGGCCCATGCCTGAGAGTTCCATCCCCACCGGTCAAAGACTCTGCATGTAGTAAATGGTGACTGATGAGCGTTAAATCTGACGAGTCACAAAGTTCTCTATGTTCCCATAACAAATCATACCTCTGGGGGTACTGATCCAAGAGTTTCCTTGTCTTCTGGATTGGTTAAAAATTACAAGGCTACTGAGTTGAACATTAGTAGTCGAAAACCCAAAATTGGGCCAGCTATTCAACGACGGATATAAAATAAAAGGACAATTAATGCAGCCCATGTCCAAGAAGTCTTGGGTGCGATCCTTGCGGGACAAAAACACTTCGCTTAGCAAATAGTGACGGATGCACATTAAATCTCTCAAGTCGCAAAGTCCTCCATGTTTCCATAACAAATCAATATCTCTGAAGTTACTGATCCAGAAGTTTCCTTGTCTTCTGGATTGGTTCAAAATTACAAGGCTACGGAGTCGAACATTGATAGACACAAATCCAAAATTGGGTCGGCTGTTCAATGCCGGATGTAAAATAAAATAAAAAAATTAATGCAGTCTAGTGTTGTTTACCGGAATATTCAGAAATTAATAGTTCACTGACACCAAAATTTACCTTTCTTTGACAATGGCTTACTTATTATATCAATCATTTGGTTATTTTTTCTAAAAAAGTATTTTTTTTTTTTAATTTCATTCATTTATTTTTTTTAAAGAAAACAAAAATAATAGCTAACCTTGTATACCTTTTCACTGAATAATAAACTACTCAAATCTAATGAGTACCTGACCGATAGTGATAGGTCATTTTCATTTAATAGCCGCTTTTTGCAAACTTTTTTTATTTGGATTAAATTAGTGTTACTTTAACACGATCTTGTAGAATTTAATTTCTTTTTAGAATGGTTTTTCTTACCAGCCATTCTTTTTTTCACATTCAAGAGAGGCACTATCCTTTATTACACGTTATTCCTTTCATATTTGTGTCACACTATTAATTTATCACATTCATTAACCACAATTACCTTAGCTGCTGTACACAAACATAACATGCCGTAAAGATACATTTTTGTCACAGCAACCTCCATTACACTACCAAAATTTGGCTGTCGTTCAGAAATCGCTGTTGAGAGGTTCCCCATAATGTAAATCCAATGGAATACCATAAACATTTTTCAGATGCTGTTTAGAGGTGGTTGAGTATACATACATGGGCAGATTGTGCTAAAAGCAGGGTTCGTGACTTTTTTAAACAAATAAAAAAAATCAGATTTTTTTAAAAATTTAAATTGGATTCTCATTTATTTATCTAAATCAGATTTTTTTACTTTTATTCAAATACACTGTAAGAACTTAGATTTATGATTAAAAAACTTAATAAATGTTTAATCAAAATTAAATTAATATTAAAACTATATAAGAATATTTTAGAAGCTCTAACTACCTAAAAACAATTTTTCACATAGCTTTGAATACATAGCAACCATTTTGAAACAAATGCATGATTGAAATTCAATGATTAGATGAAATAAAGAATTTCATTTTTAATCCTTTATCAAAATAGATAAGTTAAGCTAAAAAAAAAAATGTTTTTAAAAATCTAAGTACTCATTGGAATTTTTTTCTAGAAAATTTCTTTATAGAAAATCTGATAATGTCAAAGATACTGTAAACATATTATGAGAAAAAAATACTTACTGATAAAAGAGACAGCACAATTCTAACTCGAGGTTATTTAATTTAATAACATAGACATTTTCATTCTGTGATTTGAAATTCATAATTTAATAAAAGTATAAAATAATTTAATTTAATGATAAATAATAAAAGTATAATTAATTTAAAACACTGTTTAACTTCTTAAATCGATACATATAAAAAAATCAGTTGATTTTAATCATGATTTAAATCAACAAACCCTGGCCAAAAGGATTGTCAAATTTTGAGCACTGGCAGCTAATAAAACACACAAAATTTTACAAATTCATATCTACTTCTGCGCAGGTCTCTATATATTTAAAAAAAATTTCCCTGTAAGAGTAGCTTTTCTTGAGAATTTTAGTTACAGCAAACAGGTTTCATGAGAATATTTCTGCATCATGAACTGTCACAAAAACCATACCCATAGGCGACATATTCGTCGTCGTGAAATATGTAGAATTTAGAAATTTATGGAATTTTAAGAGAAGAACAAGCAGGTTTCCGCAGTGGAAATAGAACAATGCAGCAAATCTTCACACTTAGAAATATTATTGAGCAAAGCTTAGAATTTAACAACTCTTTATATTTAAACTTTATTGATTTCAGTAAAGCCTTTGATTCAGTTAAGAGAGAAATTATGGGAAATTTTATTACTTTATAATATACCAGAGAAATATATTAACATAATCAAAGACATGAATGATAACAGCAAAGCATGTATAGAAGTAAATGGAGAATTAACTGAATTCTTTTTGGTAAAAACTAGCGTGAGACAGGGATGTGTTTTATCAGGATTTTTATTTATACTGGTGATAGACTGGATTATGCGAAACAGCTTAAAAGATGAAAAAAGAGGAATAAGGTGGAATTTCACAACTACTTTAGAAGACCTTGCTTTTGCTGATGACATCGTACTTATTTCATCCAAATGTACAGACCTTCAGCTTAAAACAGACAAATTTAACAAATATTCAAATAGTGTAGGTTTATTCATAAACAAGAAGAAAACTAAAGTAATGAGAATAAATCAAAAGAAAAATGACAAAATTAAAATCGAAAATCACGAAATAGATGACATAGAGTCATTTAGCTATTTAGATTCTATTGTAGATAAAAAAGGTGGAAGTAGTGAAGGTATTTGACATAGAATAATCAAAGCAAGAACATGTTTTAAGGGATTACATAAATTTTGGAGAGAGTCAAATATTGAAATAAAGACAAAAATATTTGCTTACAAAGCTATTGTTAGAGCAGTACTATTATATGGCGCAGAAACCTGGAAACTGACTAAGATTGAAATACAAAAATTAGAAACCTTTCAAAACAAATGTTTAAGCTTTATTTTTAAAATTTTCTGGCCTTACAAAGTATCAAGTCAAAATCTATTAAAGAAAGCTATAATAAAAACAATAGCAGATGAAATTAAAAAACAAAGATGGAGCTGGCTCGGACCTATCCTTAGAATGCCCAAAGAAAAAATTACATCTGTTGCGCTTACATGGGCCCCTGATGGTAAAAGAACGAGAGGAAGACCCAGACTTGTTTTTGTCCAGCGCATGTTTTTGGGCGAATTAAAAGAATGTAGAATATCTGGCTGGCTGGAAGCAAGATCTATTGCTAGAGACAGGAGGCGTTGGAGGGATATGCTAGAGGCCTCAAGTGCCCAAAGGCACGTAGAGGATAAGTAAGTAAGAAAGTTGTGAAGAAAAAAAAATTTTTACATCAAATTCCATGCATTCAAAAGTCTTTATCAAAAGGAATGCTTGAAACTGATTGTTTTAATGGAATTCAACCGTGTAATTGTAAAATTAGAATTTGTTTACAACAAATTTTAGAACCATTAAATGAATACCTCCTATTTGACCATTAAATGTTCATTGCTAGTGTGAAACCTAACAATCAAAGTGCAAAAAGCTATCAAAGTCCAAAACATCTAGAGGTTTGTTTGGAGAGAGCTACAAGCCTGTGGCAGAATCGCGGTGACATTGTCTCAGAACTTTTTCATGCAAGAAGATTTTTTTTGTGAAGTAAAACATTTTGGTTTCCTTTTCTGCAGAAATTTACAAGTAAAATTTGAATTGCGTATTTAAATAATCACTTTATGAAGCACTCAATTTATAACTATATCGTGAACCCATTTTAATTGTATTTTCGGCATTCATTCATCCTGATATATTGTACCGATATGGGAAATTTGAATTGCGCATTCAGGGTGCTTAGCCAAATTATTCAACAAAAAAAGCACCTTTCAAGCACTCAAAAAATATTTTAAGCACTTTAAAAATCCAATTTTGAAAAAGGGAAAATTAAGCACTTTTAAGAAACACCCAAACAAAAAAGCACCTTTAAGAGCTTTAAAGAAAACAAAAATAAGCACCTTTAAGCACTTTTCAAAAACACTATGCACTCTGGCATTTGATCATTAACTTTTTACGGCAATGATTCTACAGTGTTTTCACTACAGCGCGAGAACCTCGCATATTTTTTTCTTTTCTCGTAATAAAAAATGATTAACGTGAGAAGTTCCTGCAATCTAATAATCAATTTCAAAATGCACGAATTTTGGAAAAAATTTCGTCTTTTGCCATTTTGAATAAAATCCGTTTCACTTTTCTTCCTTGATCTTTCATTATTTTGAGCATCGGTCCATGTTTATCTAGCTATTTATCAGTATTGTTCAGAACCGGTGCGAACAGCAGAACACCCCCCCCCCNACAACCACGGAACCCCTTTCAGAGCACATTTCTCAGCAACCACGTGTTCACCATAGGTAAGGTTTCTTCATGTAAGACATTTACATTTTTTGTGCACGAATGTAAGATGGACAAATACCTTGTTAAGGCGACATCTTCTACTCCGTAACCGGACAAATGAAAATTAAACAAATGTCGATAGAAACAGTCAAAACTAAACAAATACCGATATTTTTCAGCCAAATAAATATAATAGCTGATGAAAAAGTAGATATAGAACATTTTCCATATGATGATGCAGCAAAAATATTCAATTAGAAGATGTGAAAAATGTATTATAATTAAAGAAAGAAATTTTTTTCCAAGTCTATTCGTGCTTGCTTAATTTTTAGAAATCTCACCCTGTTTTTGAGAAAGGGTGAGAAATTCTCTCTCATTTTTTTTCTGTGATGAATACAGTGTTCTATCAATTTTTTTCGGCAGTTACTGCTTTTGATTTCCACATAGTTTTTAAAGCCTGATATTTTTATGTGATATTATTTATTACAACAATCAAATCTTGAAGCAAACCCATGCATTTGATTATTCCCTTCTGATTCGTGTCATTTCGTCGTCCACCTGGTAATCAAGGCTACAGATTTCATTATATTTAATTTATTTAATGTGGTGATGATCTGCAAAGGAAATAATTAGTGCTTTTACCACCAACAAAATGTGAGAATATTGCCTAAAATCAGGGTTAGAGTTTAGGACGTCCTAAACTGGTTTTGGACAGGACACGCGGGTTTTACTGTCTTAAACTGGATAAAACTGTCTTAAACTGGGTAAAACTGTCATAAACTGGGTAAAACTGTCTTAAAGTGTTGTATATTTAATTATCAATATGTTATAAGTTCTATGTTTATTTTACCTCTTAAATATTGTTCAGATAAAATTGTGACATAATTTGAGTAAAATGGTTTTGGACAGGACGGTTTAAACCGTGGATTAATCCATTCTGTTCTAAACCTTGCCAACCCTGCCTAAAATATAAGAGTAAAAAAATATTACATATTCAATTATAAAAATTATTTTGTTTTTATAATCACAGCGTTTTTGTTACCTTAAATTAGAAACATACATCTTTGTTATTATTGAAAGTATCCTGAAGAAAGATATTAGTGAAGTTCCTTTTGCTGCTCTCCACAGTTGTCAAGACTGGGTGATTATTCTGCTACAAACGTAACAGAGAAACCTCCCCAATATTAATAAGGAAATATCCTTATATTTAAAAATTTAAACAATTTTAGACAATATTACAATTTTATCTTTTCTGTTACCATGTACTGTTTTTTTTAAGCAACAAAAGATATTTACAATTTTATCTTTTCTGTTAAATTAATTCGGCTTGGAGAAATGTTTTTATCAGCAATTGGTTCTAATATTCTGTTAAAAAAATAAAAAACTTAAAGAAAAACAAAGTATACCTTGCAAATCCAGATGTAATTGTCAATGGATGTTTCTTGTACTTCAAATTCCATTTTTTTATTACAGTTCGGACAAAACATAATTTTTGGTATGAGGCTTTTATTCCTCAACCAATCAATACACGATTCTTGCGAAGAACAAATTATTTTTAGCAAATAAGCCATGGATATTTTCTTTTTTTGTAGACGTTTATTACGGGTACTCCATTTTCCGGATGTTCCTTCAGTGGGCTGGGAAGTAGAGGGAACTAAAAGGGAAATAAAACATTGTTTAAGTAAGAAATTTAATGAAAATTACGATTTATAAAAGGATTTATTATAGTAAAATCGAAAGAGAAGTAAGTAGTCAATAAAAAAAACCAGATTCTTTTGAATCCATTAGTTCTATAAACTTCTGTCAAAATTTTCACATTTAAATGTTGTGGATTGATAAACAACAAAACAAAACAAATTGATTGCAGTGTTGCCAGAATTTAAGATTAAAAAGTAGCGAATGTGAACTTCAAAAATAGCGGATTCCAGCCCCCAAAAAATGTTATTGGCGAAATGGGCTGCAGGTGGCGTAGAGCAGAGCTCTTTTCCTATGGCAACACTTCACATGCTTTCCCCACTGCCGTGTGGAAAGTCATAGAGGAAGGAAGTTGTAAAGTGCTCGACTTCGCGAGCAGGTCGTGATGGCATGCCTTCGGATTATCCTCCGGGATGTTTCCCAGACCGTCGCCAATAGCCCATTGTGCAAATCTAGTGCGACGTAAATTAGCAACAGCAACAACATGCCATCACAATTTTGATCCCCTGCAGAGGTCATGGCACCCCCAGCTTCAGTAGCCCGACGACCTGCACGCGAAGTTGAGCATTTTACGGTAGAACAGTTTAACGAAGACCCATACCGCACGACCTCGGTCCCTACGCAGACTGATCCACGTGGTCACCCACCCGCACACTGACAGCAGCCAGTGATGTTTTTTTTATTATTTTAATAACCGTCGTTGAACAGCTGACCCAATTTTTTGGATTTACGACTACTAATGTTCAACTCCGTAGCCTTGTAATTTTGAACCCAATCCAGAAGACAAGGGAACTCCTGGATCAAGTATTGGGAGAAATTTTGCCTTCGTGGAGGACTTTTTGATGGAACTAACCGGCATTTGCGTTACATGGAGAGGAAGACCACGAGAACTCTCACGGTTAGCCTTACGGCAAGGGCACTCAAACCCATGACCCGTCTACCACTGAGGATATTTCACGTCAGATCTGTGGTCGGTGCAAGCAGGATGCGGAATTCGTATCGACCAGCTACCGCCGGGATCGAACCCCGGTTCACCTCATTGCAAGGCGAACACTCTCTCCCCTGAGCCATCGCAGCTCAGCCAGTGATGTTTGACTTCAATGATCTGCTGGGAACCGTGTCTTAACGATCAGTCCACTGAGGGACTTAAATTTCAATGAGCTGCTTTCATAATTTCGCCAAATTCAATATTTCTTTTTAGCTCAGATTATAGGTCACGCGGTAGTTTTTCAGATGGTAAGCGATTAATAATGGTAGGAGTTAAAGCTTTTTCCCCCCATATCTTTGCGTTTTCACGAATCTATGATTTGAAGCATAGATATGGAGAGATTCTGGACTTTGCGCGGCAAAACAAAACAAGAATCCAAAACTAAAGCTGATGCGTTTTCAGAAAGAAGAGAAAATATTTTTTAAAAAGATCAAGAAACTGCAGATTTTGCAGAATCTCTCAATTTATAATAGGACAGAGATGCCAACTTGCTCCGGACAGCAAATATATATTTTAAAGTGGTAATTTATCAATTGTGATTCTTGGTTTAATAAATTCAATTTAGTAGACTTTTATCCACTACTATTTCTAAATAATTCGTAGACTTATATAATTCACCACTTTATTGAACTAATGTCGTGCTATTCCTTTTAAGAAGCGTCCCGCAATGGACTGATCGTTAAGACACGGTTCCCAGTAGATCACCGAAGTCAATCATCACTGGCTGCGGTCAGTGTGCGGGTGGGTGACCACTTGGATCAGTCTGCGTAGGGACCGAGGGTGTGCGGTATTGGTCCTCGTTAAACTGTGCTACCGTAAAGTGCTCAACTTCGCACGCAGGTCGTCGGGATACCGAAGCGGAGGTGCCATCTCCTCCGCAGAGGATCAAAATTGTGAAAGCATGTCTTCGGATCATCCTCCGGGATGTTTCCCAGACCGTCGCCAATAGCCCATTGTGCAGCTCTAGTGCGACGTAAATTAACAACAACAACAACAAAAATCCTTTTAAGAAGCAAGCAAAAATAGTCAAATATTTGGAAAATTTACCTTATAGTTCTTTACCGTTTTTTTAATTATTTTGGCGTGTCCGGATCAGTTGGCATCTCTGATAGGAAAGGAAAAACATTTTTTTATAAAAGTATTTCTGTGAGATAAGTAGCATGAAATTCTCTAAGTAGCGCATTTTTAAGATTTGTAGCTTTTGGAAAATAATGAATAGACCAAAAAGTAGCGGGAAGCTCAAATTCGATTTTGTGTAGCGAGGAGTTTCAAAAGTAGTTCAATCCGCTACTTGTAGCCTAATCTGGCAACACTGATTGATTGTAGAAGGGAGGGAAAAAAACATGGATCAAACAACTCCAATTTTAAATTTCTTCGAAATCCTCAATCTTGATTGCATGCTTATAGTTTGCCACAAACGGCGCGAAAAGCAATAAAGAGAACTTTTGATGGTTAAAATTTAACATATTTTTTTTTCCTTATATTATTTATTTAATGTGTTTTTCGATATGGATGGGTGATCGTGTAAAGTTAAGGGTGGTGGCGCTAGTGGTAAAATTGCTCTTTCGAGACTTCCGGGTTACTGCTTCCGATATAGTTTTACGCCGCAGAATGAAAAAACGCGCCATCATATTATTGCATCATATCTTTTGCAGTATTTCATATGCACCGAGNGACAAAAGTCGTATCAGGAGGCACGCACACGTCACACCCCTTTACTCCCTTTAATATTAAGCTATAATTTTCAAACTCGGACGGAAAGTAGCTCTCTATGAGCCGAACCAACCAGCAAATAAATTTTTTAATAGACCTATTAGGAGGGCGGCAAACGTCCCTTAGGTCTTTTGCTTGGCTCACCGGGAGAGGGTACTTGAAGCTATGAAGTAGCCCGATCACCGTATAAACGTGGTTCAACAGCTAAGACCGCGTGCTAGTGACTTACGCCTTAAGTGATAGGGCGCGGGTTCGAACCCCGGCTAAGATAAAATTTTAAAATTTTATATATATATATTTTTTTTTATTATATTATTTATTTAATGTGTTTTTCGATATATTAAAGGATCCTACATGTAAAAAATATTGTTTTTTATTCGAGAAATTTCAAATAATGCTTACAAACTAGAAAAATCCCGGAAAATTAGTTTATTTATATTAGAATATTTTTTTTACTCCTTCTACAATATTTTCACGAAAATTTAGCCTCTGAAAAGTTTTCTATGTTAAAAATCAAGTGCCTTTCTTGGTGAAAGAACGCATAAAGGAATAAATAATAAAATAAAATAAAATGGCGGGAAAAAGATTCAAGTTTTAAGTCCGTCTTACTCCCTTTAATATTAAGCTCTAATTTTCAAACTCGGACGGAAAGTTATCCTCTATGAGCCAAACCTACCTGCAAAGAAATTTTTTTATAGACCTATTAGGGGGCTGCAAACGTCCCTTAGGTCTTTTGCTTAGCTCACCGGGAGATGGTACTTCAAGCTATGTAGTAGCCCGATCACTGTATAAACGTGGTTCAACGGATAAAACAGCGTGCTTGTGACTTACGCCTTAAGCGATGGGGTGCGGGTTCGAACCCCGGTTGAGGTTAATTTTTAAAATTTTTTATATTTTTTGTTGTTGTTTTTTTTTTGCATTATATTATTTATTTATTGTGTTTTTCGATATATTAAAGAATCCTACACAAAAAAATAATTTTTTTTATTCGGGAAATTTCAATTAATGCTAAGAAACTCGAAAAATCCTGGAAAATTAGTTTATTTTTATTATATTATATTTTTAAATTCCTTTTGCAACATTTTCACGATAGTTTAGCATTCGAAATGTGTTCTATGCTTAAAATCAAGTGTCTTTCTTAGTGAAAGAACGCATAATGGAATAAAAAATGAAATAAAATGGCGGGAAAAAGGTTCAAATTTCAAGTCCGTCTAACTCCTTTTAATATTAAGCTGTAAATTTGTAACTCGGACTCAAAGTTGGCTTCTATGAGCCGAACCACACTATAAAGGAAAATTTTTATAGACCATTTAGAGGGGCCAGAAAGACCCCTCAAGTCTTTTGTTTAGCTAACCGGGAGAAGGTACTCTAAACTTTGTAGTAACCCGATCCTCGTATAAACGCGGTTCAACGGCAAAGACCATGTGCTAGTGACTTACGCCTTAAGCGATGGATTGCGGGTTCGAAACCCGGCTGTGGTAAACTTTTAAAAAAAAATTCTTTTAGTTTTTTTATATTACATTATTTATTTAATGTGTTGTTCGATATATTAATAGATCCTGTATGTAAAAAATAATTTTTTTATTATTCGACAAATTTCAAATAATGCTTAAAAACTGGAAAAATCCAGGAAAATTAGATTATTTATATTATATTAATTTTTTTAAACTCCTTTTACCATACTTTCACGATAGTTTAGCATGCGAAATGCGTTCTGTGTTTAAAATCAAGGGTTTTCTTAGTGAAAGATCGCATAAGGGAATAAAAAATAAAGTCCAAGGAAGTAACGCTTCACCGTTACAAATCTTGAACATTTTATGCCAGTGATATAAACGAAAAGAACTAGAGCTATAATGAAAACATTTCAAGCATGATTCGGCCTAGGAGAATACGTTAGATAAATTTGGAATAGATGTATAAAATAGTAAAAAACACCAATCCATACATTGACGTTTGTCATATTTTTTTCAAGCGTGACATTGGACAATTGTCACTCTTGATAACTAGATGTAGTGGCGCACGTTTATTCTCCATACTGAACTTGACTAAAAATGAACTAAAAAATGATTTTAGAAAGGATGAGTCATCATGAGCATTGAAAATGATGTACTGGAAATTGATTTTAGCAATGTGATAGAAGGCTTCACCCCTGAAAACGCGTAAAAAGCATTGCTACCTTAAACTTTTGATGAAAATAATGTAATTAAAGCTTTTATAATAATATATCAATGTTTTACTGTTTTAAAAATAAAAATTATTCAAAAGTAAAACTTTTTCTTTGAAATTGCTCATAAAGAGCCCCCTCTGCTTTTTGGATCGGATTATACATTTTCATTTAAAAAAGTTTAATATATTACCCTAACGCTAGTTTCGTGTACAAAATGAATAAATAATGAAAATGTGACCGAGCTCAGACTTTATCGTTCTCATATATCTGCTATTTAACTAAAGTTTTTCTGGAGAGTATGCATAGCGCTATCGAAAGACGGAGCTCCAAAACTAGCACAGCAGTACGTTGTAGTTCTGGGAGGTAATGTCCCAATAGTTTCGTCAAGAGAGCTGTCCAAAGTTTAGAACAATTAATGTTAATTTTACTTTTTGTGTATTTCACCATATCTCGAAAAATTACAAAAAGAATTTGAAACATTTTTGCTCTCAGTTATAAAATTCGTTTATCCGAAAGAAAATTCTATGCAAAATATATCTTATAGTAAATGCTAATTATTTTATTTAATAATAGTCGAAGAATTTAACTGCAAGGTAGAAATTTCTTTCAAAATTTAACTTTTCACCTATTGACCGATTTCACTGAAATTTTGCTATTTAAAATTGCATTCCTTAAAATGATGTAAAAATTTTTTCTACTATACAATTCAAAAATTTTAAGACATATTAAACAAAAAAACAATGATCATTTACTAAAAGATATATTTTGAGTGGAATTAAATTTAAATAAACGAATTTTACAATTGTGAACAAAAATCTTTCAATTCGTTTAAAAAGTAGTCAACGAAAAAAAAATTTAAATGAAGGGATCCAAATTTTGGAATTCTCTTCTGCCCAAACTATTGGAACCGTATTTCCAGAGTTCCGGCTGCCCCCAATATCTTGGGGGTCAGACATCTACATCACTAAAAAGAAAAAATGCTGGTTTACTCAGAGAAAGTGCATTTTTGTGTCTGATTTCATAAAATATTGTTACTGTAAGACTGTCTTTTTTGTGTTAAAAGGGCATTTATATTCTATTCCTTAACTATTTGATTAAAAGCGGGCAAATACTGTCTTTGGAGATTCCTGACCTCATTTCAAATCAACTTAAATAGAGTTGAACCGTTTAATACTCATTATATGAATTATTTGTGTTTGCTTATGCTTTACTGCTACTTTATAACCTGAATTAATAGTGCTTTGTTTTTTTAATAAAGTGGAAAACTGTATTCTTTCTTCTTAGAATAAATCAATTATATTTTAAATGGGAATAAAAAGTACATTGAATGCTTAATTTCTGAATCATTTTGATCAATATTAATGTACTTAAGTGTGTACTCAATAAAAGTTAATTTAAAAAAAGGAGCTGTTTTGGTACATTGTTTTCAAAAATGCTGCAAATCAAGTTTCGTTTCTTTTTTGCCTACTATGGCAGGTAACACAACTTTTTTTTTATTATAATTAATTTAAGACAGAAAGTAAGATTTGTATACTATTGAATTTGTAATTTTTGTTGAGAAGAATATAATTGCATGTATAGAATTGGCATTTTATGTTTAAATTTCATATTGGGACAAAATCAAAGTCACTGATCCTAACCAATTTCAAGCATTGATTTGAAATAAATACTGTACAAAAATTTGGATATATGTCCAATTTTATTGTGTTTTTTATCGATTTTATTAACACACTGTGTATTTAATCGAATTTATTAACACAAAAACTGTTCGTGTAGAACAGTTTCTGTGTTAATAAATTAATACAAATATGGTGTTTTATGTTTTTTAAAGTGTTGACCACGCTGTAATTGGTCTTGTAACTGGAAGGTTCTGGGTTCGAAACCCGCTTAGTGCATAGGTGTAATCTATCTGTCCTTTTAAGGGTGACGTTGATCCACCTTAATGGGACCCACAAAACAGAAATAAACAAGTGCCTGTCACGTGCCATATGTTGCCAAAAGTGGTGGGCATTGAAATAATATTTCTGAAAAATATTAATCTTTGGAATGTCTTGCACATCANGCAATGAATTTATCTTAAAAAAAACATACCTTTGGCATCTCCAAGATTAAAAAAATCTTTCTTGTGTTTCAAATTTTATGAATTAGAATGTCTTTAAAGATTAACAGAATATTGTATTTAAAGTTTATACAATTGTATAATATTTTTATGCTCAAGTGACTGAATTAAATGATAAATTTTATATAATGTCTTTTGAGCTAACAATATGTCTTTTTAAATCTGTTCTGTCTCTTTCTTTTAGTATCTTGCTTTTTTCTTATGTGTCACGTTGATGCACTCTTTTATATATATAACGTCGTTGCCGAAAGAAAGGATAAAAACAGGTCTTAGGCAGGGAAAGAGGGCACAATATTTAATTTTTAGAGAGAGAACAATCATCAAAGTGACACAAAATCGTTGTGTTCTTCAATGAAAGTTAGTTTCCGAAAACTGTGGCTTTTTTTCAAGTCTAGTGCTAGCTTCTATTGTTCAATACTTATCAGTGTATCAATCAAATGACTTCTACTAACGTACTATTGGACATATATTCTAAATTTAAAAAGTTTTTAATTAAATGCAGAAGCATTAAATTCTAAATTGAAATTTATTTAAATTGAAACAGTTGCAGTGAAATAGTAGTAAGCTTGTATCTAAAGTGAACTAAGTATCTTGGATAGATATTCTATAAAATAGCAGCTTTATGTATCTTCAAGAAATGATAAATAAATGAGATACATTTTCTTTTGATAATTTTTATTTTTACCTTTTTAATTATTTTTAAGTGGTAAATAAGAGTACAGCATATATGTAAAAAGTACAAAATAGGACAAAAAAAAAATAAGCATGTCTACACAAGCTATAAGCATGTTTGAAGCATGTCTATTTTTTTTTTGTTCTTATACAATAGACTAAGAGTATTGGTAGACAGCTTGACTCTATGATGGTGCAATCACATAAGGTTTACGACAGCTACTAGTGGCAACATCCTGAGTAAAGGAGCAGCTAAAAGTCTTGTCTGCTTATTCAGCTGTAAAATAGAAGCATTTTTCTTGATAAAAAAAATTGAAATCATGTTACCTTAAAGTTCTGCAGTGGGTCAGAATCTAATCTAAGACATACATTATATTAATATCAGACAACTATGCTAAATAATAAAGAGCTTAATTATTTTTTATGAATTTAAAAAATTTACAATTATATCTAATACATATAACAAAATTAATGACTAAATTTTGACTTGTTATGGCACATTCTTCAAAGCGAATGAGTATCTGCATAAATCATAGTAGAAACATGAAGTCCTGGTAAACATATCTCACAGAAAAGGTTTAAGCAGACAATGCTGTGAGATTATTCTCCGGGACAAATGTAAATCATCAGTAGAACAAACAGCAATGTAAATACTAAAACATTTTTTTTATTAAAAACAAATTATATTAAATATTTAAAGAATAATTCCTTATATAATCCAGGTAAAAGCTAGAAGAGAACAAGTTGCTTCAAATTAGTATTGCACTCAAGATACCTTGTGATAATTTCAATCGATGGCTAAGTATATAACCTAAAGCACAGCTTTTTAAATTGTAAATCTAAAACGGATTGAAAACATTACTTCGAATCAACTTGAGTAACAGAGTGAAAGAGGGACATTTAACACAAAAGTATACATTTTAAGAGAACATTTTTAATTACCAGAAAAGTGTTATAAGCATGCACACATACAATTACATATATAAGAAAAATACCCACAAATTATTAAACTTCCGACACCTTCAGAGAAGTTTCACTACTCGTTATTAAAAAGCATAATAAACATTATTACAAAGTAGCAATGTTAAATATATCACATTATATATAGGCAGTAACATTTATTCATAGAAATGTTAAATATTTTTTTCTCGGCAAAAGACGGACAAGAACAAGTTGCTTCAATTAGATAACAAGATATCTTGAATTGCAATCAAGATATCTTGTTAAGATTTCAACTGATGGTTGAGTATATAGTTAAAAACACAACTTTTCAAATTGTAAATCTAACAAAGGATTGTACTAGTTTGAATCAACTTGCATTACAGAGTGAAAGAGGATCATTTAACACGGAAGTATACATTTTAAGAGAACATTTTTAATAACCAGGAAAGTGTTATAGGCATGCACACATACAATTATATATATATATATAAAATAAAAAATGCCCACGATTTATTAAACCTGGCTCATCCAACATCTTCCGGGACTACTTGTGACACCGTCAGAGTAGTTTCACTACACTTTTGGGTGGAAGCGCTACTCCAACTCATACTTTGGGATTTGGTGCATTCGTCACTTAAAAATCAAAATATAAAAAAGGAGTTGAAAAGGGTGTTAATATCTGAAGGCATGTTGACGCAATTAACAGAACATTGGAGCACACATCCACAATTAGGCAATCGCTCTCAGGCTTTGCTAGTCTACCAAAAAGCTTTTTTAAATAAGCTTTTTTTAAAAACTTATTTAAAAAAGCTTTATAAAGCTTTTTTTAGCGATTAACAATAAAAAATTGGCCCACTTCCTCCATACATGTTTAACTTGTCATGAGGTTGAACTAATTCTCTCAACTCAATCTTCTAGCATTCAGGTGTTCACTCAAGTATTATAGTTATAATGGGTTTTGCAAAAATGAATTTTTGAATCACATAGTTACAGTCTAGTAAAAGAAGTAAAAACTAAAGGAAGATAGTTCTCATTGTTACAATTTTAAGTTATGTCTAAGTGTTGATAGGTTACTGGGTTACAAAGTTACATTGAGAGTTAAATTGTTAAAATTAAATAAATTATTGTTACGACAGGTTTGCTGCTCGGTTTCTTATTTTCAATTCTTTTGCAAGTCTCTAATTTAGTCAGGTTACTTACGTCTAAAAGAGAGGGGTAGTGTCTGATTAATCTTATTTATTATTTCTATTGCAGAATCCATCAGAGTTTAGACATAAATAACAGCATTTAAAGAACAAGACAATCACAGGATATTACATCACAACATTTAATAGTTAGTCACAGCACAGATTTTTTAAAATTTATTTTCTTTGACATAAATAAAAAAGAGCCACCCTGTAAAGACTAAACCCAATCCATTCATGTTACTGCAGACAATGTTAGAAGATGTGGAGCATTGACAGAACATGATGTTCTTATCATTCAAGAAAACAAAGAAAAATCGCTTCTTGACAACAGCGATGATGAAGAATGTTCAGAAAAACCCACAGCTTCACAGGCCTTGGTCAACAGGGAAGCATAAAACAGATATTTATTGACACAAAAAAACTTTAAAATTCTTTTTTGATTACGTGCTTACTTTGAAGAAGCTTGTAACTTCTACTGCAGGGTTCCTACTCTTTTAACAAAGCAAAAATTAAGCACTTTTAAGGACCATATTTTGAAAAAATAAAGCACTTTTTTAAAAAAAATTAAGGACTTTAAAAATAGTATAATTGCTTATCATCGAATATACATATGTCACCAGTGGCAGTGCAAATTATTTACCTTTCTAAAAAAATCAATAAATAAAAAAATAATAAAAAAAAACAATTTTATTATAATTAAAGAACTGATATAATTGTATTAATTGACACTGCTTGCCAAAGAAGTACTAGGTAATTTTTGCAAACCAGGGTCGAGTTTTTTGTAAAGCATTTTCAGACTGTTAAAAGTTAATGTCTTTCAGATTGTAAAAGTTAAAGTATGAAATTAGCCTGCATTTCATTTTTAATGATTTCATTGAAATTGAATTGTAAAATTAAGTGTAGAAATTTATTTCATGCATATTAAAAAAAAAGAGTAAATAACAAAATTTGTCAAGAACATTGAAATAATTATAACAACAAGCTTTTATATTTCGCTACTAGGCCAGCAAATGTGCCAGATTTAATTTTATGATGAACTTTAACAAAATTATTTTCAGCCAAAGCAGTTATTAAGAATTACTTTAATGTTAGTAAATATTCTGGCGAAAAACAGGAAGTAATTTTAAAGTAACCTAAAATTGAACATAAATTAAAAACAGTATATTAAGTTGCAATGTTAACTAACTAAAATTATTATTAAAATCTAAGGATCATTCAGTTGAGTAGATTTATATTTTATGTAACAATTTGCTTATCTTTAAGGAATAAAAATAATAGCGTAACAATCTAAAACTTTAAAAAAAATTTACATTGCAACAAAACAAATTATAAATAGTTACCAAATACTTAACTTTCTTGTTAGAAGCAAATCATGCTTTTTTTTTATATAGGAAAAATATTTAAAGTATTTTTTTTTAAAAAAAAAACTTGGGATTTTCATCAAAAACCCAATCAATAAACTCCATGTTTTTGATGAAAAATTTAGGTGGGCTGGGATTTTTCAAACCCTATTTCTTACAGATCTGTTTACTTATTAGTACAATCATGAATTTAAAAAAAAAAAACATTATGCTTTCTATAAATTTACGTTCACTTATTACACATTGAATTATTATACAAATTTATTTAATTCTTCAAGATTTTAGGAAATAGTTTTAGTTATGGATTCTAGTTCAAAAATTTTTCTGATACTTCTTCTCTTAGAGTCTTACTTAAGCCTTATAAGCAGAAGTGTTACCAGTAGAACTGAATTTCTTGAATTCTGTCAGTTTTGAAGGTTAGTGTGTCTTCTACTTAGGTACCTTAAAACTGCTGCCCCCCCCCAAAAAAAAGCACTATCTTTTCCATGTGAAGTATTACCCTTGTTCACACTATTCTTTTCTTTTAGAATGCTTCACTCTCCTCAAAGAGTATCATTCTGGGCAAAAGGCAGAATATATTAATGAAAGAAATAATATATTAATAACTGGACATACTTTCTTCCACTTACCTATAGCTCCCCCCTACACACATTAATTTTTATCTCTACTAAATGTTTTACCCTCGATGCAGGGTCTAATTCTGAGTGATAAAAGGACATTTTGTTTCAAAAAATTGAATTGAAAAATTGTTCCTATCAACTATAATGATGCTAAAAAATTAAAGACTTTTAAAAACCTTGTACCAAAATTAAGTACTTTTAAGGGCCCTTATTCTCCAAAATAAAAATTAAGCAGTTTTTAAGGACTTATAAGGACTATGGGAACCCTGTACTGGTTATAAATCATTTGCACAGAAAAAAATTATTACAGATTACACAATTATTACAGTAATTTATGATAAGTAAGTGATAATAAATACATTGTTCCTTTTAATGAGCATTTATGAAGTATTATTCGACTGATTTAAATTGCTCCTCAGGGTTCCAAACAAGTGACAAAATGTACAACACAGCATATCAGATACAAATAAAAAATTATTTCTTTTAAAATTGATTTGATGGTTTTAAATTTTTTTTGCTGATTTTCTTTTGTTTTAAATTGTTATCATTAATAAGTGCACACAAACAACGATATAGTTAAAGAACATGATTAAATATGGGAGAGAAAAAATGAAATCAAATAAATAATGATGATAAATTGAAATAATTCTAAAAGCAATGAAAATACCTCACCTGGTTAGCAAATTTTATATTTTTGAATTTGAGCCAGAACGTCAAATGAAAGCCTAAGTGCACTGCTTTTGGATGGTGAGTTTCTTATAAATGAATAAACTATAAAGTAAAGCAATAATTCACCAGGCACCAATATAAACACAAAAGACTATTACTAATTTAATTAAAAACTATTATTAATATTACTAAGACTATTATTATATTACTAAGACAACTAAGAATATTACTAAGACTATTATTAAAGACTATATTATTAATATTACTATTTATCACTTCATGTGTTGCACAAAAATATTATATGCTATCCTTTTTGATAGGATACACCAGAATTCTCCCTGGCATCACTTAGCAATGTAAAAATTTATCAAAATGAGTAATATTATGTAATAACTGAATCTGATCCTCTACAATCCCGCTTATGCTATTTTATGCATAGATTTCAAAATATAATTTTCTCTCATTTTCAAAATTTGTATTTTGCAAAAATAATTAAAG